GTGAAGGACTTTGCAACTATAGCTGCTCTACTACATGATTTAACAAAAAAGGGTCAGAAGTTCGAATGGACAGCTTTTTGCCAGCATGCTTTTAAGACATTGAAAGAAAAATTGGCCTCAGCTCCACATTTAAAGCTTCCAAATCTCTCACTGTCGTACATAATGGATTGTGATGCTAGTAATGTCGGCAAATGAAGGACTTGTATCGCTGAAGTTTCTCGGAAAAAAATTCTACGGGAAATTAACAAACAAGCAGATACGTAACAATACATTTTAAAATGAAGCTCTAATTAGAACGTTTGCTACATCTTACCTATCTGTTTTGTACGCAATGGGTTATCTGTGCTATGCCCTCCTCATGTATCGAAACCGATTTTTAGCATTATAAACCCCCAGATTTACCACTGAGCCACAGAGAGTATCTCTGATAGGAATTAATGTACCTGGGTATATTGCACATTAAAAACTTAAAATATACCTACTCCAAAGTTATGCTTTCAGATTTTTCATAATATGTCGCTGTGTAAATCAACAAAGTAAAACTTCAGCTGAAGAACGTAGTATCAGTAACTGGAAAGGAATCTAAAAGGTTAGGTGAACTATACTTTTTAATGAGAAAATATACTGAAAGGTTATGAATTGGATGTATTTTAAACAATATAGAAATTTGTAGTTTTATGTTTCTGTTGTTTTTTCCTGTCGCATTGGGCGGAGTAACTAACGTACACTATGAATATGAGTGCGCCTCTTTCCAACATGGTGTATACTATATTATTCATAGTGTTACTGTTACGTAGTAGTGGTAGATACTGAATATAAAATTGTTAGCTGCCGACTACCTGAGGTGAGTATATCTTAGATCTAATATATCACTATCATGTAAACGAAAGAAGTAAAATTTCAAGGTCTAATTGTTACACAAAGTGACTAAGAATATGATAACTGTTGTATTTTTCAATTTTTTGTACGTTTGTAGCCTAAATCAACTTGTATTTTTATAATTGTATTTGCAAGAAGATGTACTGGTTGTTATTTATTTTTACACTACTACTACTAGTACTAGCAGTCTGTAGTCCACATTGATCTTTAATTTAGTTAGGGCTTGCATATTATTTTTATTATCAAAATCTATATTTCAGAACTTTATTCTAACTGATCGCTATCCAAGTGTCTTCAAATCTTGTTTATATTTTAATAGGAACTTGTACTATCATCGTATCTAAGCTGAATGTAAATAAATAATGATTCTGGCAATTTGAATTCCAATTCAAACTTAGTTATATTTATAAACAAACATAATTAAAATTTTAAAATAATAGTTCATTTTCAGTGTTATGTGTTGGTCCTATACCTACCTCACTAATTTTTAAATTATGCTTCTACTAAGTTCTAGTGTGTTACAATACAAAAAATGAGTTGAAATTTACTCTTTAATGAGAAGTTTGACAACTTGTTAACTTGATGTATGAATGTACTCGTGGATTTTTCATGTTATAATATCAACAGATTAGGTTTTTATGAATAAGGTTAAATATTTTAATGATATTTGTAACAACCATAAATAGATGTATTTCACAATTCCTCATTCAACTGATTTATTCACTCATTTATTTCTATTACAATAGCTATTAAAAGTTTTATACTTTGTTCCATTCAAATATATCGCATGTATCATGATGTTACATTATATACAAAAGTCACTCCAGTCATTGAAGCAGTGCTCTGTTGATAGTAGAAAAGTTAATAGAATGTTGAATGTATTTATACAAATCATTAGTTAGGCCTCACTTGGAATACTATGTACAGTTTTGGTTTCCTTATCTAAGACAGGATATTTATTTATTGATAAAGATTCATAGGAGGGCTACAACTAGTACTAGAAGAATTCCAGGTTTTATCTTGCAGGGATAAGTTAAGATTTGTTAACTTATTTACTTTTTGAAAATATAGATAAAAGGTGATCTTATTGAACATTTGAAGCTTTAAGATTGATGGAATAAAAGCTTCTGATTTCCTTATGCTGTATGTTGAAGACAATAGGATGAGAAGACACAGATTTAAGGTTTAGAAAAAGACAGGCTAGGCTCCAAATAGGATAGGTTTATTTTCCTAACACTGTGATAGGGTTATTGAATGAGTTGCTGTCAGGCTGACATTGTAGAATAGTTTAATCTAATTTAGTTTAATTTTAATTTAATTTAGTTTTTAATTTATAGCCTCAGATTTGTGGACTTGGAGAGGCTTAAGAACACACAGTCTCATAGTCTCAACAAAAAATGTTTTTCTGAAACAAAACTTTACAGCAATAAACAATCAAATTGAAATAATAGAATGTAATGTTTTCTTTAAGTGTACAATAATATTCATTTTGTGTTATTCAGAAAGAAAGATTCTACCTGGAATGATTTTTAGTTTTTTGCGATAAACTACTTGTTGCTTCTAGTTATTGTTAAGTTTATACTGACAACTGTTTGACATTTCTCTAACTGTTGGTCATGATTTATAAGTTTAAGAGAACATCTTGGCTTTATAGTTCTTTATGATTATTTATTTAAGCTAATGATAATGTGTTTACAAAATACAAATGGATGTATACATTTTAAAATATAATAACTCTAAAATGAAAAATGACAGGAATATGGTAAAATGTATGTTGGTCTGTGTACCCTGAAGACTTATACAACACATGGATATGACCTCTGTAAGTCTTGATGTACAGTTGCAAGTGTCTTCACATTTCACTAGACATACATTCTGGAATTTCAATAGTTGCTTCCCTGATATGATCCTTCAGATTGGCAATTGTAGCTGTTTAGACCAAATGTGTCTCCACAGCCAACAGTAGAGTGATACTGTGTCTTGCTCTAAGAAAAATCAAATAATAACACAATCAACTTCTAAATGCTGAAATAAAATATTGTTTAGCGTGTCCAGGTATGCAAGACCAGTAACTGTTTTTTCTTCCTAAATATTGCTCAACAGACCTTTCCTCACAGACTTTCCCTAACTGTATTGAAAGGCTTCAGTTTCCTTTTAGGATGTTAAAGTTTGATTATTTAATTGACACAATTAATAATCTATAAGTAGCTATTATGTCAATTACTATCATGTATAATAGTCAAATAATTGAAATTACGGTTTCACATTATTACTAGTTTTGATTATTCTAACTATCTAAGTAATCGAAATATTGTCACCAGATTTGCCCACCCAGTCCTTGTTATGGTAATGTTACTAACATTATCTGTCACTAATGTTTTACTGTTGACTAGGGAAGGCACCTGCTACCAAACATGGTTTGTTGTTGACTTTAATTTCGGTACCACAGTGGGGTGTGTGTTTTCTTGACAAACATTTTTGTTTAGGCCAAAATTGGTAAGGTGGAATAATCTTTAGACAACACATACTTTACTGCATGTCTTTCTCTGATTGTTTAAAAAGTGTCCTGTACATTTAATAAACCTTGTTGCAAAGAAATAACTTTCTCATTGGCAAAACTATAAATCAACCAGTATTCATATGCAACTTTAAGTCATAATAATCTTAACATCAAGAGCTTAGAGATAACTTTTGAGATTTTGATATTTTGCTGTTTTCTCTGCAGGATTGAAGTTGTCATCTAAACACAAAAATTATTTTTTGAAGATGAGACCAGAGAATATTGGGTTTGTTGTATTTCCTGCATGTTATTCGTTTCTTGTCTGAATTTACACCTTGTGAGCCACCACACAAGTATAAAAAAATGAATTTGTTGAAGATGAGACGAAAACGAGTTGGATTTCTATTATTAATTACGATAATCGTGCTCTTCATCATTTATTCAACACAGAAATCTTATAAAGAAGAAGACTGTACAGTATCTGAAGGTGTTCAGGCAAAGTTGCAAGACTTGACAAAAAAAGTCATTGAAGTTTTAAATATTTTAAAGCTTACTAATTTTCTTTGTTATACCAGTCTTTGGGGTGCATTAAAATATAATGGTCCCATGCCATGGCAAAGCAAGCTAGAACTTTGTCTTCTGAATGAAGAAGTCCTAAAAATAGAAGAAGCTTATTTCATCAAGTCTTTTAAACAGCATGGCTTGATTTTGAGTTATGACAGTGGTAATGGGGTTTATCACGTAACAAATGTTGATGATAATAGTTGTGAAGCTTTGCTTATTGTGTTCGAAGAAGATTCTATAACTCATCAGATTCGTAGAGTCGGGTGGAAGAACCGACTTTTGCCACCGGATTCTTGTGAAGCTCTACACTGTTTTCCACCACATCTGGTGTCTCTTCCTCTTCCTACACACAACTTCATGAAGATGAAGCTCCCTGTACCACGAGAAGAGATTGAAATCCAAAAATATTTGTTCCCTAACAGTTGGTGGAGAGAAGTTGAACCCCCCATATGTAAAAGTTAATTATTACAGTCAGAAATGACCTTAGACTGAGATTGTAAACTTAGCATTATTTAGAGCAGTAACCAAGTGTTTTACACCATCTGTGTGGTTTAAATGTTGATTAGCCGTAGTGAAGTTTGGAATGCCTTTTTTCTTAAATACCTTCAGAGCTAGAAGATATGGAAATGTTGCTCATTCTTTTTGAAAGAAATTAATAGTTTAGAAAGCACACACTTTTCTATGTAATAAGGCTCTTAGAAATGAATAACATAAAAATAGTATTATATTATTGCATCAGGATTTTAAAGTTTAAAGATAATATGAAATAACTGCATACAGTCTGTTTAAACCAGCTTTTATTATTCTAACTTGTACTTATGAAAAAGTTAAAATTTGCATGTAGATAGTAAGATAATCATGCCTAATTATAGAACATATTTATTTCTATTCAGATTTTGTTTTTATAAAACGTGTGTACAATATAAAATGTTTCTTAAATTTATGGTAAACTTAGATAATCTCGGGTGATAATATTCACGGGTAATTCAATCATTGTATGATAAGATTTGTCATATTTTAATTTCTGGTATGCTGTAACATTATGGTTTGGTTGCAGTGATACATGTGTAATCCAATAAAACACTCTGTTGAATTTTGCACTTGAAAATCCAGTAACTCATTTAATTATAATACTCAAGCCTAATACTTCATTTTTGCTGTTTTTCAGTTGTTTTTTTTTTCATTAATGTTCTTTTTTAAAATACAAATAAATTATTGAAAATACTGCAATGTAAAAATAATTGTGGTCAACATTTTGGCCAAATGATCTTCAACAAGATCTGGATGAAAGTCATTTATTGCATAGTTAACCACAATATTTTTTTTCATATAAATTTTAACCATTTCTCTGTATTTTCAAATTTTCTCATGCTGTAGATGCATATATTTGTTATACAGTTATAATCAAAAGCTAGAGGAATTGGGAATGAATTTTGCATGTACATTTTCATTTTGAATTATAAATTTATCAGTAATTTTTGGATACATACTTTTATCAAAGTTCTAATCAATCAGGTAGTTGCTTATTGACAATAGAAAGTATTAGATAACAGAACAAGTTCAAAATCTCCAAGCTTTCGAATTACACAATATACATAAAAAGGTCTGCCTTTTGTGAATGGGAAAATACTTTAGGCATCACAAAAAATCATAATGATTATTTTTCGTAACTTGTTAAACATCGTTACAAACTGTTTATTTCATCTTTCAAGATAATAGAATACAAAGCATGTATTACAATAGTAATTGTTTAGATATAAAGACAGTTGTTTTCAGTCAACCTTGGAACCACTTGCCGCCAATTCTTGGACTACTCTAGAATAACGAATAATGGGACTGAAAAGTAACACGAATCGATCCCGTGATCCGCAGATTTCAAGCTAAGGGCCCTAACCACCAGACCATGTATTGAATTTAATATAATTTATAGCATATTTTTATCTTTTATAACATGTATAAAAATAAACACTTCATTCTTAAACACCTTTTTCGCAAATTTTTAAATCTAGAAAGAAAAATAAGAGTATTCGCCAATAATGTTACTTTTTCTCGCTTAGCTTTCTCTAGAAAATATATTAGTAACTTAAAATTTTGACAATGTTTTTTGCACATTGTAATTAGTTGTCTGATTGAACTAGTTATCAGGTTTCTTGCTAAACGTTTAAATCTACTTCGAGACCTAAATTTTTGAAATTATATTAGTGAACCTTTAAATTAACATATTTTTTTACTTATACTTCACACATATATAAAGACAACAAAATATTTGCGGTGGTGCCATCTATTGTTATTTAACGAAAGTTTATGGAACATTTGTTTGTTTGTAATTAAGCACAAAGCTACACAATTGGCAATCTGTGCTCTGCTCACCACGGGTATCGAAACCAGGATTCTAGCGTTTTATGGAACATACTGATTTTTATTTATTGTTTGTTCATTAATCACTAAATTCAACAGAATAACTTATTTTTCACTGACTAGACCTAAGTAACATAAAAAAATATTTATGTCATCCTCACAAATGCTGGTTGATATTTTTATTTTTACATCATGATAGTTATAAAGAGTTGAAATCTATTTTTAACCCTTAATGCCTGAAAGGTTATTTTAACTTTTCACATTTCTCCAGTTACTAAACAATATTTGGAATATTTAATTGATTTCCCACCTCAACTTTTATAGTATTGGTAGAAATAATTGTTTACATCTCAGTACTTATTTTTACGAAAACATTACCTAACGTCATCGGTGGAAACACAATCTGTAATCGGCGTGTAAACTAGCTCCCTGTTAAGTTAGATATTTTTACGAAAACATTACCTAACGTCATCGGTGGAAACACAATCTGTAATCGGCGTGTAAACTAGCTCCCTGTTAAGTTAGATATGTTTCGTGGTTGAGCTGAACATTTTTTAATTTTGTGAGTGCGCACGAACCACACTTAGTGAACTGAAAGAGTGCTTTCAACATGAAATACTGGAGCTGGGAGTTAAAAAAGTAGACTTAAAAGAGCTTAATAAATTACCATTTCAATTAAGACTAGCTTAATGCGTATGGCGAAGTGAGATGCATGGAAGAGGTGAGAAAATGTAATTTCTGGGCAAGACCTATAGACAAATTTAGGAAAACTATGATAACGAAAATCAATAATTCCAATTTTCTATTCACCACTTGCCACTGAGTTATAAAAGTTTCGGAGAATTCCACGCCCTATCAGTAACTCTAGACAAGATAAAAAAAGAAAGAAAAAGACTAGGCTTCTAATAATGGTATACTGTTTGTTGTATGCGTGGCATTCTTAGTTGTCTGTTACTCACCGTAGTGAACTTACATTTATACAACACAAGCTGAAATACCCGTCAACTGACGAGGAATGTTTAAATTTAATTAAAACAATGTTAATTTAACAGCAATCATATATTTGAAAGTAATAACTTGAACATAGACTTTATCTCAAAATTTGAAAATTATAACGAAGCTTCTTCATAAACAACATTTGCAGTTTGTTTTCCATATACCACCAAATAAAATATTTTGAGGTGATCCCACCCTTAAATATCCTACATCTCACTGACCATGAGAAAAACATGGTTGTTTGAGAAACAATCCAGCAACTTTCATATTTTGACATAGAATCCCTTTACAATATTCAACATTGTCTAAAGCGTCAACATGCCAAGATTGAAATTGACTCAATAGGCTAAGAGTAATTAACCAACAGGCTTTACAAAATACAAATAGAATTAAGTTCAATTTTGGTCCCCATAATTCATAGTGTTTACATACAAATTTTGGTTGAGATTGGTCCAATAGGCTCGGATGAGTTAGGGTACAAACAAGAACACATATCAGCTTTATATAGATTTGAAGAATATGAAGCGACGATGCTACTAATTTATTATTCTGGATTATTCAGCAGACAAGCTGTTTAAGATGCTAAAAAAAAGGCAACTTAGATATGGATTTTTATTAATGTCTGTTCACATGATCGTTGTTATTCTTGTCTATTTACACGTACATATCTATTTCCTGGTTGTTCTATCACTATTAATATATTTTGACACAGACTGATATTATTTGTATATCAAACTGATTCCTGTTTATATAACACGCTCGTTTTTGTTCTTATCTATCTATATCTACTTCCTCGTTTCTTTTACGGGTGTTTTATCAGTATTATTACACCCTGACATAGTCTGATATTGTACATAAAAAAATACTGATTCCTGCTTTTACTTATTCAAATTCTCGTTCCTTTCTAGCGATATCTAGTTTCCCATTTCTTTCCAGGATGTTCTATCAGTATTAATATGTCTTGATAAAGTTTGATATTATTGTACATAAAAAATATTGATTTCTGGTGACATCTATTATAGCATGCTCGTTTTTGTTCTTTTCTATCCATATTCTTTCCCGGACATACTATGCGTTCTATCAATTTCTCTATTGCTTCTCAGAAGGACTTTCGGCCAGATTACCTGGAAGAGGCTGTTCTGTATCTTGAAATAAGAGAGAGATATCGTGTTTCAATAGACGCCCGGCTTATGTTACTTTAATGAAGATTTCTTCTAACTGGTTTCTTTGCTCAAGTGGTAGCTATAGCTACATGATTTCTGTATTAAATTCTTTAGTTTGATAATGATTCTTTGACTAAGTTTCAAGGAGATCACTCCAAACAGCAATATAGAAGTTCTGGAACGTTACGTTCCACGTTAAGGTTTCGCAAAGCGGTGTGTAAAGTCAGAGAGGGCCCTAAGCAAAATTGTGGCTTGTGTGAACTTTGTATTCGTGCCTACGCCACACTGACAAGAACTGCTAATTGCAATGTTGATTTTGGCGTTTCTTAGGGGTGGGCGCCCCAAGGGCCTGCGCTGTGTAAAACATAAGCAAAGTGAATAATTGTAACAATTGCATTATATTTAATGTTTGCTAAAAATGAAATATATATCTGTTATGATTAGGTAGTAATTGTTTCTGAATACACTATACAATGTTGCTCTAATGTGAGTATTGCTGGTTTATTTATCACCAGAGGGATTCTCATTAAATAAGTTTTCATTTCGTTTGTTTTTTAGCACAAAGCTACATAATAGGCTATCTGTGCTGTATACACCACGAGAGATCGAGCCCCAGATTTTTACGTTGAAACTTCATAAATTTACCACTGACTCATTGGGGGACATTATATAATTCACATACAAAAATAAACTGAAATAAAAATCTTAAATCGGAATGAAACTGAGCGAACGTGGGCTAAATAGCCAGGTAAGAGATCCATAGAATCAATGGGATTGTCCGTCAATTTTATAATGCGTCTAAATCTGAATGTGCAGATTGCATTCAGCGTTGTCACGTGTCGAATCTTAGACCTTTCAATCCGCTAACCACTATCCACGCCTTGCCTAAATAGCCTACTAAGCCCAAAACTTTACACGTTAAGATTATTCAACGAAATTCCCCGAACTTGTGCACAAAATAGCCACGTATATTGATGAAATCGACACCAATGAACGTCAAACACTTAAAATATCTTTCAAACGCTTGAATACGTTCTTTAATTTGCAAAATCTTATTCCATTTTTGTACACAGAACATAGAGCGGCTTAGGAAGTGTACAAGTTAAACTTGAACAAATAATCATCATGGCTCACTAACAGGATAGAGTTAATAAGTCAATCAAAACAGCTCAGTTCTGAAATAGTACGTAAAGCTCTGTGCAATGCAGTAAGTACTAATGTGGTAACTTGAGTTGTTAAAAAGCGCCTTTGTGTTTTACCAGCAAGCACTAGTGGGTTAACCCTTTATCTCAGTTGGTAGACCCTAGCCCGGCGTGTGGGAGGTCTTGGCTTCGACTCCTAACGGAGAAAACAATAATAATAAAAACAAACTAGATTATTACACAACTGTTCTTTAGTTTGTACACCTATACTTTATTGAATTCCCACTGATAACTAGAAATGATACTGGATATTGTTACAACTCATGTTTGGGACACTTATGAAATAAATATGTAGCTCAGGTTGAATTAAAAAATAAATACACGAAAGGTTTCTAATAACATTATTTCCTGAGTGGGCTGAACTTATTCTAGTGGTTAGCT